AAATGTTGTAATGGGTGGGTATTTATAGGGGAAGAAAATTAGAGAAATGAAGAAAAAAATAAAAATAAAAAACAAATAAACAAAAAATTAAATGTGATCAAACGGTCACTGAAAAATTCAATGACCGGAACGTCACAATAGACTTTTGAAATTATTTTTTATATACGAGCCACTAGCCGAGTGGCTCGTGGCTCGTAATAATGATGAGCCACTCAGCGAGCTACTCTTTTATATGACAAGCCGACTAGCGAGCCGGCCTGCTGTGCTCGGCTCGTGTTCGGGCTCGTCTTGTTGACGACTCGGGCTCCTTTTTGGCGAGTCGACGAGCCGCTCGACTCGATTGCCACCTCTAAGTTGATGGGATGAGAGTGAGAATGACCAACCCATCCTATACCGACCTGTTGCCATCCCCAACCACCATCGCCACAAGATCAAGGTCACCTCCAGATCTGTGCAACCATCACCACCAAAATAATCTCTCTCCAAATACTAAAAAATCTTGCAATTTTCAATAAGGAAAATATGGCCACAAAACATATAAAAAGAAGCAGTAGTAATTTGCAGCCACTTTCACCATCAATTTCCATGGATACAAAACCACTTTAATCTTAAATCTAGCCACCACCGTCGTCATCCTTTTCTCCTGCAAAAATTCAATACTATGCTTGCAAACACCAATCACATATTGATGCCACCATCAAAGCCCAAATCAGTGTCAAAATATGATTTATTTTTTTCTGAACAATGGAGAAACACTAGGTCTTAAGAAAAAAAAAAGTAACTTTGTAACGGTAGTTATCGTGAGGGTGTAGACGATTAATAGCAACACGTGGATGCCCGCGTTCGATAAATAAAATATTGGTGGTCCACTGATTCTAACTTCTTTCTTGCATGGATGTGTAAAGTAGATTTCAAAATCAGATTAATATTAAAATTAATAAAAGATTGTATATATTCTTTAAAAAAGTATTTAGTTAAAGAGTAAGTTTGCAATAACAAAAAGCATGGGAGTGGTAGGTGTAATTTTCCCTTAGTTGGGGAAAATGTTTGGGCTTGGGTAAAGGCCCAAACCTGTCAATTACTCTGACTTTTCTTAGATCAATCAAATATCTGAATATGGGCCCAACTATGTGAATTTCTTGACTGAATTTGAATGCAGTAAGAGCATGTTTGGGCCTTGGTTATTTTGTGGTTTTCCATAAGGCAAATAAGCAAGTCAGGCCATAATTTGTGTGCGACTCACTCTGCATTTACTTTTTAACCACAAATTTGTGGGATCTATAAGTCATGGTGCTTATGTGCCAAACAAGTTCTTAATGAGCTTTTCAGAATATGATATAGCACAAACGTCAAGATCGCAAAATTAACATACTCGTTAATTCTGAAGAAAATCGAAAATGAGTCGATAAATAGCAAGAAAATTTAATATTTTAATAGATTCACGAAAAGAAAGCCAAAATAAGATATCATTGCCGTGGCAAATTAGGCCATGACTGGAAGTGATTATAAGTTGCGTGTTCTACATAATGTATGAATAATAAGTGTTGTAAGTTCTTCTAAATGTATGAATCAAAAGTACAATTTAAGCTTTGCCAAACATTCACCAACTAAAAGACCAATACCTAATTCTCCTAGTTCCTAAATTCTTAACAACTCATAACTTTGAGTCTCATTCTCTATTTTTTTTTTTTTAATTTATTTTGAATCACACGTTGTTTTAATAAAATAATTTTATACTTTTATGCAAAATTTTCTTATACTTTAACCATATATTCTTCAAAAAAAATCATTCTTTTGCGAATCTATTATAAAAATGGAGCTCAAATAGGGACTACATATGTAGTTGTAATTCATTTTGAGGAAACATTAAGGGTATGTTCTCTTTGATGTTTTCAAGCCATTTTTAATTTTTAGTTTTCAGTTTTCGAAAACACTGAAAACACGTTTATTTACTTATTTTTGGAAACTAATTTCCAAAAACGAGTTTAAAATTTACAAAGAAAATGAAAAATGCCAAAAAAAGTTGTTTTAGCTGTTTTCAGTTAAAACCAAGGCAAAACTTCTTTTTTTTAATTTTTCAAAATGACAAAAACAACGAGTTTTCAGCAATTTCAAAATGGACACTCAAAACAAAAAACAAAAAATGAATTCAAAACTCAAAACAAAAAAATTGAAACACAAATAGAACAATCCCTAAAGCTTTAAGAAAAATCCTACTTTAAAGTTACAATTTTGCTCCACTAATATTTTGGTTGACAGTTTTGATTACATCTCATGATGTAGTACACAGTTTTGTCATTGATTTGAACAACACTTGAAATAATCAATGATCTCGATTTTTTACACATCATGAAATGTCAATCAAGATGTACAAATAGAACAAACAAGTATAATTCTTAGAGTTAACAAGAAAGATATAGACATTTATATTACAATTATATTCTTCTGTAAATGTGATGCTATTTGCTTGACAGAATTGTGGCATATCAGTTGCACATCTGATCACACTAAACTATGGAGATATAGGACTACTTGTTGTTATCATCATAATGGCATTCCAGACGAGGAGTAGATGTTTATTGTGTAAAAAGTGGAACCTAATTGTGTAGTAGCAGCCAGCAGCGTGTGTTGATGATATTAGTTTGTACACGGAGCTTAGTAAGATAGATAACATGACTGTATTTGGACTTATTTATATTAAATTATATGTAAATTGAGTGGTAATCTACTCTATTTGTGTAAGTTATTTTAATTGTATGAAAAATTCTAATTTGGATACAATTAGGGTGAAAAGTGTCATTTGAAGTTCAATTGGAGTCGATTTAGAGTAATTGAATATTATCCGGATTGCAACCAATCAATTGGCAGTAATAATGGAGCAATCAAAGGAAATTCATAAGTTTTGACAATTGAAAAATCTAGGGACTAAATTACAAACATTTGAAACTTACATCGAATCAACATTTTATTATTTTTGGAATGACGAAAAGTAAATTTTAAAGATTTCAAGGTGAAGGACTTATGTTGCAATTAAGGAAGGACGTGGGTTGAATAATAAAAGAATCCGAGGACTTAATTGAATTACAGCCAACATTTAAGGACTTAGACTGTACATTTCTCGTTTTCCTATTCTGAGCAGAATTCTTCTTAAAATGCAACCTTACCATGATTTTTGCCTCATTCTTGGATCTGTAAATACGTATTTTCATTCTACGTTCAGCGGAGGTTTGCGAGGATTCATTATACACAATTTATACGAGTCAAATGAGCCTCTTGAGAAAAAAAAATCATATCAATTACAAGAATAGAGAGATCAAAAGAAGAGAAAAGTCAAGAAATCAATCAAGAAGTTAAAATTTTCACCTTTTTTTCTATTTTCTTAAAATCCGATTATGTACTTTAATTCTTTCTTGTAATTTTCTTCTTACATAATGTGTAATTAATTGATAGTTACGACGAATGATTCCAATCTAGTTTTGTACCTTAATTTTAATTTTAAAATTTTAATCTTCAGTTGTATTGTAAATTGTTTTTACTTCCGTTCTTAATGCGTTGAATTATTTGATCACTAACTCATTAATTTGTGAGCGATAATTATGTCAAGGGATGAGTTATTTATACCATGTAGTAAAAATAAAGCAATTTAGATAAAATGGTATATATACACCTTTGTGGTTGTTGCAATCGTTAAATGAATTATTTGATAAATGAATGCTATTGATGTAGACTTATTCGGATTCATATAGAAATAGCAAACAAACAAAAGTATAACGTTAAATAACTTTTTTAAAACTTGCATCAAGCATTGAAATCGTTTAATAACTCATAAGTAATATAACTAAAACTAATTCTTTATGTATTCTATACTAGATCGATATGTGTACTCGCATAGTCAATCTAATCATCACGAACTTTTAAGTTGATTATTTTTCGATCCGTAATAATCAAATATTTGAGTTAAATGTTCGGATGATCATTGAACTTTGCACTTCGTCACGTCTTACTCACCGAACTTCAAGAGTTGTCCCAATGGCTATTGAACTTAAGTTCGTTGCCTCCCGCTACTCACTGAATGAATTCCGTCTTTAACTCTATCTAGGTGGTAGACGGAAGGCCTATGTGTACTGTTAAATGTTTCATGTGAGAGTTAAATGCATAAATTTATCTCCAAATCAGCAAAAACTTGCGTTCCCATTTCCAAACGCCACAATCCCAATCCCAATTCCAATCCCTAACCCCCCAAATCCATTTCATTTCTCACATGTGAAATCGGTCTTCTGTAGAAATAATTTAGTTTAGCAATCAAGAACCTAAAATCGGATTGTGATCTTTATTT